AATGGAATATTTAGAATGAGAGGAAAGAAGAGATTCAAGAGAGATAGTTCCATCATTTAGAGTAATTATATTAATATTTAGAATTAGTTAATTACAAAATAAAGATTAAATAAAATATAACAACTTAGTAAAGTAAATAAATTATTAATCCACAAGTGGCAGCTTAGATGTTTAAATTCTATCAATAGTAAAAATTTAAATAATTATCTATATAATACTTATATTTTAACAACTGTTTCTAATAATTAAGTTAAGATACCTATAATAATAGTTATATTAGCATAACTAGCAGATCATAAGATATTTGTATATCTGGTTATACAAAGAAATACAAACTAGCATCAAGTGATACAAACTCTAGATAAAATGAAATTTTAAAAACAAAAAGTTTATTTGTAAAGATCTAAGTTAAAAAGTAGTATAGATCTTTAATATTGCTACTATAAAGACTAAACTACTGAAACCAGATACTAATATTGAAGTATCCAAATAGACAAGAATTTTTAAATAAAGTATTACCAACTAGGCTGCCAAAATTATTGAAAAAAAAGAATATAGAGTTGAGCTAATATATCAAGAGATAGGTTGCAATTCTACTAAGCTATTTGGATTGAAAGTTTAAAAAATAGGCAGAGTTATACTAAAATACTAAAGATATGCTATGAAAAGATGCTAAAGTTTGAGTAAACTTTACAAAGACACAGTAGTTTAATGACTAGCTCTAATTATAAGTATTGGTTCTGTTATAACAATATTACATTAGCTATAAAAATAAGTACAAAAAGCTCTAAGAGATTTATTTTAAGAATAAAATAGTTTTTGATTAAAATAATAATATAGGTATAACTAGTAATATTAATACAGATTGCAGATTTAGAATATTTAAAATAGAATACTTAAGCAGAAGTATTAGATATAACAATTAGTAAAAAACCTTTAGACAGACTTCTTAAATAAGTAATATAGAAAAATTATATATTGTAAGATCTGAAAATATGACTAGTACATATGATGTTAATTTTGAATGTTATAAATATTAAATATGTCAGATATATCAAATATGTCAGATATATCAAATATATCTGCTATATCACATAAGTGTAATATATTAAATAAATATGATATTTATTTAATAAATTAGTCAAATTTGATATATTAGATAAGGGTGTGGTGACTTAGTGAAATGGATAAGTTGTCAACCCTTCAAGTAGTAGATTGTGAGTTCAAAACCCACTGATGATAAAAATTTGAATAATCACCTATATAATACATAGAAAATATTATGGTGACAGCATCTGTTGATTAGTTGAGATAGGATACCTGTAACTATGGTTACACCAGCATGACTGGCAGGTTACAGGGCATTTGTGTAATATTGGTTACACAGAGGAATGCAAACTAGTACTGGGCAGTGCAAACCTAAGATAAGTACTTGTGGCCATGTAAATTTGTAAAACTAAAAAACCAGAACCTACTTGGAAAGATCTGAGTAGAAAGGTAACACAGATCTTTGATGGTACTACTGTAAAGGCTAGACCTAGGAAACAGATATCAATGTGAAGGAGCTGGACAGGCAAGAACCTCAGATAAGGAGTATTACCAACCAGGCTGCTGAAACCTAACTAAAGGAAAAGGATATCAGGCTGGCTTGATATACTAAGGACAGATTACAGTCTTATTAAGCTATCTGGATTGGGAGTCTGGAGTCAAAGCAGGGGTATACTATAAGTACTAGGGATATGCTATGAAGTAGGTGCTGGAGTTTGGGTAAACTCTACAAGGGCTAGCCTTGTTAATGTTCTGTAGAGTGAGTAGGTAGTTAACAAAAAAGTATCCTGAAACCTTACAGTTAGATAATGTATTCTGAAATGTTTAACTGCCTGACAGACATACAAAAGAGGATGGCTAAATGTTGGGTTAGACAGCACTTAGTTGTACAGAAACCAGATATTACTCATCTGGGTGTAGTATAAGGATTAGAGTGTTTAAATAGATACCCTCCTAGTAGGTTACAGGCATGGCATCTAGTATAGAACCCTTGGGCAGACTATTTAAATAGGTAACCAAAAGTTATATGTGTGGCTAGTTGCACACTTACCTTATACAAGTTACATGTAATGCATTAACCAAAAACACAAATAAAGGTGATAACTACTAATAATATTGGTTTTTTTTTAAAAAAAAAAAAAAAAAAAAAAAAAAAAAAAAAAAAAGATATATTTGATATATTTAATATATTAAACAATTTTATAATTTAAATAGATAAAATTTTATTATAAATAAAGAGCAATAGAGGATGTAGTGACCTAGTAAAGTGGTCAGATTGTCAACTCTCTAAGTGATAGATTAGGTGTTCAAATCTTATTGATATTAAAAATTTAGATAATTATTTATATAATATTTGTATTATAGCAATTGTTAACAACAATTCAGTTAAAATAACTATAATAGTACTTATATCAGCATGACTGACAGGTTATAGGACATCTGTATAACTTGTTATACAAAAGAATGCAAACTGACAAATTAGATAGTACAAACACTAGATAAGTCCTTGTAGCTGTATAAATTAGTTGAAATTGGATAACAACAAGTCTATTTGGAAAAACATAAATAGAAAGATAGCCAGTCTTTGATGATTCTATTATAAAGGCTAGCCTAAGAAAATAATATCAAGATTATAGTACCTGGTCATAGTAGCCAAACAGACAAGAAACTACAGGTTGGGGTCTTAGAGTTATCACTAACCAAACTGCCAGAATGAATTAGAGAAAAAGAATATTAGGCCAATCTAATATACTAATAAACTGGTCATAGTTCTATATGAGCTATTTGAATTAGGAGTTTGGTAAAAAGGCAAGTAAAAAAACAAAGATCTGTGTAAACTCTACAAGAACATAGTAATTAAATAATATAATTCTAATTGTAAATGTTGGTTCTGCTATAACAATATCTAGGTTAGTTGTAAAAATAGATATAGAAGGCTTTGGGAAATTTATTTTAAGGATAAATTAGTTTTAAGATTAAGATAATAATCTGAACATCTGGGTATAACCTAGTAAATTAATACAGATTACAGGTTCAGAGGATTTAAAGTAGAATATTTAAGTAAAGATGTTAGGTATAGCAATTAGTAGAAAACCTTTAGGCAGATTTCTTAAATAGATAATATAAAAAAATTATACATGTAGCCAATTGTACTCTCTTCTGTAGTGGTTTATAGAATTACATTATAAAAAAAAGTTATTAACAAAAGTTAAAAGACCAAAAAAATCACTTCAATACTAAATAATAAATAAATAAATAAAAAGCAATTTATCTAGGTTAAAATGCTGTGATTACAATTACAAAACAATGAACTAACTATCTAACCTATAGTACAAGTGAAAGTATTGTCTCATAAAACCCAGTTATTATCATAAATTCCATTATTAATAATACCCATTTACTTCAATAATAAACTAAACTCATAATTAATTACTTGCTTATTTATGTGTTCAGTAAACTGTAATGAAGAATAGAAGAGTTCTAACTCTGATTCAATGTAGTAAAATCTTAGTTAAAACAATAGAAGAAGATAAAAATTAGATTAAGAGTAGGTTAAAGAAAAGACTCAGTAGAAAAAAGACCAGTACTAATTTATAGATAATAATCTACTCATTTAATCTAATACATTTGTTTCAATTTAGCCATCATAAGTAACACAAAAGTTGGCTTAGTTTAGTAACAGACTCACTGATTTTCAAGATAACAATATTTAACTAATTGTATACTTTTTCTAACTCAAATATATAGTTATAATCTAAAATAAGATTGTTAATAATTTATACAAAATTAATTAATATATGTAATATATATTATAAATATAATTTAAATTAACATATTTAGCATATATAATATATATATAGTATTATAAAATAACACATAACTACTCTATGAATAGAAAATTTTATAAAAGTTCTGCATTGTACTATAACAATATAATTTTTTTTTGCTTTTGCTAAGGCTAATGTTATTGGTAACTACTGCTTTTATTTATATTTTAGTTAATGCATTATATAAACTTGTACAAGGTAAATATACAACTAGTCATATATATAATTTTTGATTATCTATTTAAATAGTCTGCTCAAAGGTTCTACACTAATTGCCATACTTGTAATCTGCTAGTAGATTACCTATTTAAACACTCTAATTCTTATATTGTATCTAGGCAAGTAACACTTAGTTTTTGTATATCTAAGTGTCATCTAATCAATATTTAATCTTTTCTTTTTGTTATTATATATTTCAGAACATGTTATCTTACTGTAAGACCCTGGAGTATATTTTGTTGACTACTTACCTATTCTATAAAATATTAATAAAACTAACCTTTATTAAGTTTATCCAAACTCTAACACCTACTTTACAGCATATTCCTAGTATTTTAATATAACTCTGTTTTGACTTCAGACTTCCAATCTAGATAATTTAGTAAAACTGTAACCTGTCCTTGATATATCAAATCAGCCCAATATTCTTTTTCTCTAGTTTGATTCTAGTAGTCTGATTGGTGATACCTTTCATCTTAAAGTTTTTGTCTGTCTAACTCTTCTACAATAATATCTGTTTTCTAGGTCTAGTCTTTACAGTAATACCATCAAAGATCCATGTTATTTCTCTACTCAGGTCTTCTCAAAAGAGCTTCAGTTTTTCTAGTTCTACAAATTTATACAACTGTAAGGACTTATTTTAAGTTTGCATTGTTTAGTACTGATTTGCATTATTCTGTATAACTAAGGTTATACAAATGCCCCATGACCTTCAGTCATGCTAGTGTGACTATAGTTACAGGTATTTTATTCCAACTGATCGACATAGGTGATTTCCAAATTTTTGTCACTGGTGGGTTTTGAAATCACAACCTACCACTTGGGGGTTGACAACTTATCCACTTCACTAAGTCATCACACCCTAACAATATACTAAACATTTATAAATGTATTTATTATTATTATTTACTAAAATACCAACTCTCAAAAGCTTGAGTCTAAAAATATGCATTTAGAAAGAGTTAATTGTATATATTTTTAAGGAAATTTCTATTTAAACACTAGTATATAAAACACAAGCATATTAATATATAAATGTATTTATTATTATTATTTATTAAATACAAACTCTCAAAAATAAAGAGTTAATTGTATATATTTTTAAGAAAATTTCTATTTGAACACTAGTGTATAAAACACGAGCATATTAATATCTCAAAACCCTAATAATAAAACAGCTTCTGAAGTTTTAACAAAAAATATTCCTTGTAGAATTCTATATAATCTATTATCTCTTCAACCCTAAAGCTAGCCTTTACTCTAACTTTAAATCGAATTTGATCTTTGGTTTATAATTTTATCTTACATAGGTTTGTTAAATAAATTAATCCTCGTGTATATAACATCCCGTGTACAATTAGAAATTTTCTATTAGATATTTCTTGAGTTATAATTTAGTTTGGTAAAAGCTTCGTTGACTTGTTTAGCAAATTCATCATCAATTAAAAAGTCTAATCCAACCAAAGTCATACCACTCGTAGCTTTTATAGTTTCTTCATGAGCAATTTTTGTTTTACATTCCGAGGAAAATTCTCTTTGATGATTAATAGTACGAATAGGTGTACAAATGTCATATATTGAATGAAATCCAGGTACCGAATAAGTGACATTTCCCTGATCAGTGGATCCGCTAGGTAAGGTAGACTGAACATCTTTTGGTGGAAATGTAATATCAAATTTTTTTGAAAGGTAGTGTTCGTAGCGTTCGGCAAGAGGTTCATTTATATTTACATCTATAATTGATGATTAGTTAAATTATTTATAATTTAATTAATTTAATCGATGAATACTATATTAATGAAGGTACCATAAACTTCTTTTGACCATGTAATTTTTACTTTAGCCCCAGTCGCTTCTGCAGCTGCTTCAAAGCACTTGTGCACACGTGGCTGAAGTGCCTTCGCATCTTTCATTGTCTTTCCACGAATAAGAAAAGTTCCAGATGTATATTCAGGAATAACTAAAAAATATTATGTGGAAATTTTGATTGTTATCTTAATTTGATTTTAATATTGGTGGAAATATACTACGAACCGTTAGGTGCTGTTCCTCCATTAGTAATTATTCCATGAATCCTAAAAAAAACAAATGAAAATTAAGGTTAAGTACGAAATCGGCATAAAAAAAGTAAATACAATAATCAACTTATACCTGTCTGTAGGCAGAATTTGCTGTCTTAACAATCCAATATTATTATAGGCCAATACTATTGCATCCAATGCATTAATTCCTATTATTTCATTTGAATTTTTGTATTAAAAAATTGATTAATTATTTTGTAACAATTCTCCAAATAAATGATGTATAAAACGGAAATTTATAGATTACCAAGATAAGGCATTGCTAATTAACAGAATTAAATATTTAATAAAATTAAAAGAAGAAATTAAAAATACTTATATAAAAGAAATAAAATAAACATTTTACCCGAAGCATGTGCAGGTTTTCCGAAATATTCAACATTCGCGCTCAGGACCGCCAAAAAGGTTATAAAACCTCCATTAAATACACTAAATGTTTTCATAAATTATCGCGATTAATAATTGAAAAATATAGCTAGAAATTAAATGTTAACGGAATGTCACCTTGGATGAACCATTAGTGAAATATCAACTCCCTCATAGGCACCGGCTTTAATTAAATCGACTTTTCCGCTACCCTGTTCTTAAAAATATAATATATTGTTATGCTGCAATTTTAAATTACTAAATAAAAATAAAATTTTAAATACCTTCTGCGGGGGTTCCAAATAACTTTACAGTTCCTTTAATGTGAAATTTCTCAAGAACTGCTTTGAGACCAATCGCAGCACCTACACCGCTAATTGCAATAAGATTATGTCCACAAGCATGACCAATGTCTGGTAAAGCATCATACCTATTATATAGATATTACAAAGACTTTTATAAGAGAGAAGCTAATACATATTTTAAAATAAATAATATTTACTCTGAATTAAATGAAACAACACGGCCTTTTCCGGCCTTAGATTGAAACTCTGCTACAAATGCTGTTTCTAAACCAAAAGCATTCGGTGTTACTTTAAACCCTTTTTCTTGCAAATAATTAACTAATAATTTATGCGCATATTTTTCTTCGTAAGCCAATTCTGGATTTTCGTGTATCTGTGCATATAAAATAGTTAACATTGAAGCTTGTTATTCTTAAAAACTTATTATCACTTTATTAATATGGAAATTACTTTTATGCTTATCTCACGAAGTTCTTCAGAAACGTCTTCAATGGCTTTAAGAGCTATATCAGCAAACTTAGATGTTAGTTCATCATTAGAATCAAATGTTTTGGTATTTTGTTCCATTACAAGTAAAAGTTTAGTATCGAAGGTTTAATCCAATTGTATTTATTATGAAAATTTTAATCGTCCAGAACGTATTGAAAGATATGTAATGGTGAAACAAAAGTTCCATTTACCAGGAACGGAGTACGAAGTACGTAACGTATACCAGGAACGGAGTTTGTACAACGTACAACGTAGTGTATACCAGGACCGGAGTTTGTACAACGTACAACGTAGTGTATACCAGGACTGGAGTTTGTACAACGTACAACGTAGTGTATACCAGGAACAGAGTTTACCAGGAACGGAGTTTGTACAACGTACAACGAAGTGTATACCAGGAACGGAGTTTGTACAACGTACAACGAAGTGT